CTCCGGTGAAGCATTGGCATTCTGTCCCGTTTGTTATTTATATGCCTCGGTTTGCTGGGGTGATTGGTATTACTTTCGGTTCTGTTTCTCAGTGGTTTGTATATCGGGTCCAGGTCAATGTGTCTTTTGGTGACATGACCAATTCTCACTGGTCTCAATACACACGGACAAAGGACACGAATTTGACTGGGACAACACATCCATAATAGCACAAGCCAAACAGAGACACACCAGGAATTCCTGGAAGCCTGGCGTTCCAACTGGAACTCTGTCAACAAACACATTGAACAAACACATTTATCCTGACATTTGTCAACAAGTTCTTGATCATTAGACTCTTAAGTCCAGATTTTGTTGATTAAATTCAAATTCCACCATCTGCCATGGCAGGATTTGAAACTAGATCCCCAGAGCATTACCTGGGTCTCTGGATTAATATCTAATAATAATACCAATAGGCCATTGCCTCCCCAAATCATGAGAAGTTATCAGATGTAACGGAGCAGACATCATGAGTTCAATAATCAGTCCAGTGGGTGGTACGGAGTCCACAACAAGGAGGCACACCTCAAAATTACAATGAGGTTATTCAGTAAAAGGTTTATGCAAAAGATAGTGCGTTTGATCTGTCTCCTAATCTATCAGCAATTTCTCCATCTTTAAACATCTCAGCTAGTTTTACTCCTACCATGTCATTCAACATCCTCATTCTCTACCATCCACCTCAGCACCCACTAAGCTAGTTCATCATTTTTCTCCCACTAAGCTAGTTCATCATTTTCCTTCCTCAGCCTCTCCACTAACTCCTCATCCTCAGTACTGTCAATCTTCATCTCATCAGCTTATTCCTGAGTTCACTATTCTTCCAGCCTCCCTCCACTCCCTTGAAATTGCCACCTCATGTGGCCTCATATTATCAGTCACACCCAAGGCTACGTGTCACTTCCTTGTATAATTTCACAGTCATATCTATCTCCCCTATCCTGGACTCTTTCTTCCTGCATTTACCCCAAACTCATCCTAATTCAGTAAGAACTACACTTCCAAAATCCCCACTGTTCAGTCTTTGGTTCTTCATTCCTAATGACTTTTCTGAAAGGTACTGATCTACTCAACTGCACTCTTCACTCTCCCATTGATGCTCTTGTGCCCACTAAAACAATTACTCTTGATGTGATTAAGTCATTCACTGTCAGATATGTTGACCTGCATAAGCAACATTATGTCCTGTTTTTGTGCTAAAACTACTCCTTGCAGATAGTCCTGGAATATCAGTATAACCCTAGCTTCTGTTCTCTAGTGTAAACTGATCTCTTAAAACCTTTGCCTCCTCCACGCACCTCCAAAACAAATAAGAACAGCTCGTTAATTGAAGACTGAGACCATCCTATCTGGGGTCTCTGCCACTTCCCTAGCCTGCCTAGCCAAACTTTCTCTAAGGGTTCCCCAATGCACATTCTCTAGTTTATTTCCTTTCATGCCATCTTCAAACTCATTTTGCCTGAAACTTACTTCACCTCCTGCTCTTGCGACCTTACTTTTTTTATTCATTCTTGTAATGTGGGTTTCTGGTAGGGCCATCCCCAATTGCCCTTCAGGTGATTGTGAGCTACCCTCCTGAAGTGCTGCAGCTCTATTCCCACTGAACTACTGACCACCCAACTTCTCTTCCTGTCTCCCACATTTCTCGCCACAGATTTTTGATGCAATTCACTGTGGTCACATGTACCTAAGTACTGTGAAAAATTTTGTTTTGCATGCAGTACAGACAGATCGTACCATACAAAGATCATAGGGTGATAGAACAGAACGAGGAATACAAAGTTACGGCTGCGATGAAGGTGCACAAAAAGCAGGATCAACATTAGGTTTGAAATTTGAGAGGTCCATTCAGAAGTCTAATAACAGCAGGGAAGAAGCTATTCTTGAATCTGTTGGCACGTGTTTAAGCTTTTGTATCCCCTTCTTCAAATCTGCTGTCATTAACTTAGCAAATTTATGTCTATCTTTCCTGGAATTCCATGGTTGAATTCGCCTCCCTCCACCCTGACCCCCAATGAGGGAAAGATTTTCTACTCCAGAAAGCAGTCAAGGCTGAATCATTAAATTTATTCAAGGTAGTGTTAGATTTTTGATTGACAAGGGCGAGCAGGACAGAAAAGCAGGCTTGAAGCCATAACCCAGTGTTGATTGTGCACGCTCCAATTTTCACATGATCAGGTTTCCATCCTGCCACAACACTGAAACTGGTTATCGATAACCTGTATATGTGTGTGAGAAAAAAGTAAACTCTCTCTCTCTCTCCCTAGAGCCTAAAGCCATTGCCTCCTGTCCCTACCATAAACCCCAGCTCTCTAGTCATTAATTCCATTCTTCTCTCTAGCAGCTGAACTAGAGTTAGTGTCATATTTGACTCTGACATTAGGTTCTGACCATTCCATCACCACAACACTTAAATCCATATGTTTGATTTTTCTAGACTTGACTATCTCACAGTCCGCTAGCCACCATCATAAACTCAGGTTCATCCAACATCCTCTCCACCCACTTCACTCCATAATCATCACCCTGTTTTCAAATTCCTGTGTCCTAATTCCTCCATAACACACTAATCACCTCTAGCCCCACAACTCTCCAACTTATCTGGGTTCCTCCAACTTTAGGCTTTGAAATCTCTTATCCCACTTCTTGCAACCAAGGACTTTGGTCAAACTGTTGGTTATCTGCTCAAGTATCTCTATAATTGTTCCATTCCCTATTTTGTTCTGCAATACCTCAGCAGAACTCTTTGGATCAACTACCAAGTTAATTGAATTATAAAAATACAACTTGTAATGGTGGAAACCTGTAAGATCACCACCTCTCCCACCCCGCCCAACATTCTCCCTGGCCCTCTAAACTAAACTACTGTCAAAAGTACTGTAATTTGGAAAATTCAAAACTGAGATCGACAGTTTTTTTATTAGAGTTGGTCAAGAACTATGGAACCAAGGAGGGCACAGAATATCAGCAGGTTTGAAGGGCTAAGTAGCCTACTCTGGAGTGATACGACTAATAAATTCATATACACACACACCTAATGCAGTTGCTTTACATATGAAGCAAATTCCACAAGAATTATTTCCAAAACTTGTTCATTTTTATTTATGGAAAGAAATGTACAGAAATGACGAGACACCACTTGAATTTAAAAATAAAATACAACAAGCACATAAAACTCTTGCAGCCTAATTTTAAAAGGACATCTTTTTAATATATATAAAAAGTCTCAGTTCAGCTTGAAGAAAATGAAGCCAGTATAAAGAAATACAATTAAAGCAGTAAACTGCAGCCCACAAGCCAAGCATTTTTCACCAAACTCCTATGCAACAAGAGGCTGCACCCTGGGGTTAGACATCCGTCCAATTTGCAGTGAATGCTGGTAAACAAGGAGAGCAACCTTTGTTACGAGGTTCTTGCTGCTAATTAGTGCCTCAGCCTTTTGTGAGTTGATGTAGGATGTGGAGCTAGCTTTGCCTTTTCTGGTCATGTGCAGCAATATCCAGCTTCATTACCTTAAAGGATGCTGACTAGTACAACAGCTCTGTTCGTAGCTTCAGTACAGTTCATCTTCATTTGTGATTTTACCCATCTCAGCCACGCACAATGTAGGAACTCGTCCATATCTAGCTGGGTATAGGCCTCCATAATACATTGCTATCCAACAATCTTGCAAGGAACCCAGCCCTAAGGATAATCACAGCTGACCAACTGCAGCATTGGTACTGTAGGAGTAATGTGTAGTAATCAGTTTTACACCAGTGGGCCACTAAAAGTCTAAGGTTTAAAGCTAGGAATGAGAGAAGGAAGGGCAAAGAAGGGCATAGACACAGTTTCAGATTCAGCCTCAGTTTGGGGCAACTTTCTGCACCAGTTTCTAGTCAAGAACAAAATGGGGGAAGAACTCAATCTGTTGGCATTGTATTTTTGGTTGACAACATGGTGCACACTGTAGGACAGCTGTCAAAATCACTAGCAAGTTACAACTGGTTACAATACCATCATGTTGGTAAAAGAGAAATAGACAACATTCAGAATGAAAATGTTTCAGAAATGAAATTGGCATCCAATCTTGACAGTCACTATAAAACACATTTGTTTTTGCATCAAGTACAGATTTGTTTCAAGCCAATTTAAAATGAGCTGTTGGGTCATTTTTGGCATTAAGTTACCAGAAAATATCAACTGCTAGCTAGTACTTGTCAAGTGACTCAAACTAAAGTTACCTTGCTGTGTATTTTTAAAAAATTGTCCTAGACTGATTTTTGTAAGGCTATCCCAGTCATTTACAGCTGACATTAAGAAATATGTTATTTGCATAGCTAACATTTAACCAGAATACAGTTAAAGAGGAGGCAATGCTTTATTTCCTTGTTAGGCTGCTCCAGTTAAATACTCTGCTTCAGTTCTTGACTTGCTCAGGTTATTGTGGTGTAAAACAGACTCTATTCTTTGTGGCATCTATTATTCTGTAACTAGTGCCAAAGGTGAGAATTAGGAATGAAACAGGACAGCCTGTGGCTGAAAAACATCTACGCAGCGAGATGTAGAACCAAAGATGTGTCAGTTATCTTGGCAGGGAATGGCAATCAGCTCTCCTTGGTTTAGGGAAGAGAAAAATTTGCCCAGATTCAACTCCTGACCACTTTCTAGTCACTCCTGGCTAGCAAGCATGGAGTGAACTGAGCGAAGAATCAAGCTTAGGTGGGATTTAGATAGGTCCCTGTGATATGTCTTCCACCGTAGCTCATTCAAAGAGCAAATCTATGGCACAGTAATAACAATTACAATAATGAAATAATTGTAATAATCACATTAAAATAACTTTAATTGTGTAAAAGTAGAACCCAAAAAGTGGAAGATAAACAAAAATAGGTGTGACACCATTTGTCACACAATTTTAGAGATCACAGAGAAAAGGGGAGAATATCAATAAAAAAATCTTAAGAATACAAAAAAAATGAACAAAATCCTTTTTAATTTTTGCCCTTCACATTTACATTTATCTTTAGGAACAATTAAATCACATCAGCTAGCTTCTGAGGTTCAACCATCTCAAGACTTCTAACAAAGCTACAGGCAGTAAGATAACCATAATGATCTTTCAGTAAACCAACTAAACTTACAAACCACGGTCCTTTACAATGATCCAATATGTCACAGTAATTTAATGTGCTGAAAGTGCATTTGCTCAAAAAATGGCTGATTCCTTGTATAGGCAGACATCTGAATGGTTGTACAGCTAAGTCTTTGCACAGAAACCGCTAAGAGTTAAATATGTCTTTTCCCCTTGGCTTTTTCATTTTACACTTTGGAACATAAACTTCTGTTTGTCCAGCTGTCCAAAATGTCACAGCATGCTTTGTAATATTTCACCTTCCCAACAAAACATTCAGCGAGCATAAAACTTGCTCAACTTATCACATGACTGGCAAGAAACTATGGCCCAAACGCAGAGTTAAACCACTCAGCAACACTGCAATCACTAGACTACCAGAATTGTACTTCTATTTCGCTGCATCTCAAACTGCATCTCCCTTTTCTTCCTGAGGTACTCAATGCTGGACATCGGTTTCACAGGGACTACTTACCCAGTGGGCATTCTACATGTGTGCAAATGTATGTGAATGTCAGGAAGCTAACCGATAACTGAACATGTTAGATGTCCACATACACATCCCCAATTGGACATTGATTAGGTGTGAGAACCATGACCAATTTATTTCCCTGCTTTAGTGTCATGCCACTGAATTCTGATTCAGATGGGATTAGCTCAGTCAGCATGTAATGTAAGTCCAGCCAGAGATTTCCCCAAGATGTTTGGCTCATGTTGCAGACACAGTGAAGAGAAGTGTATTTGAGGTCAAACTAAATCTCTGCAGCAAAGGTTCAGCAATAAGTGCCCTTTTCCTCAGTCAGGTTCTCTTGTTTTTGGGGATTGTGACTTGAGCAACCTACAAAGCAAGCAGTTTTTCCAAACTTCACATCTGTCCTGTTTTCCATGAGGCTATCAGCAATGCTTCATTATGCAGACTGACGCTATTCAACTATAACAAGAATTGAATGGGATTTGTAAATTTTAGGCAAGGGAGCCGAAGTTTGACAGAACTTCAGCCAACATTGTAAATATTGAGGACAAACTTATTTATTTCGAAATCAAAAAAGTCAGATGAAATAAAGTACAAAAATGTAAGCATTCTGCAGGATCATCAATATTTAGCAAGGTTTGGGGACAGTGTTTTAAAGCTTAAAGCACCTGTCACTGCATTTGCGACTGGTTTGGCTGCCTAGTTTAATCTGTACACTAGGATAGCCAGACTACAGAAGATCTGAGATATGATTGATTTCATGCATCTTAATTAAGGATTTTTGAGAAGGCAACTGTAATAACTCTTGCAAGATAGCTCAACCTAACTGAGCTTTATTTGTGCTGTATAAGTCACTGTGTAAGGAGAGTATATGGAATTTAAGGGATTTAAGAAGTTCTAAGTATGGTTAATTTTAAAAATAAATAGATTTATATATATCTCTATATATATGATAAAAGTGGTATCTGCACTGTAGAGCTCCCTTGGCTGGGTTATACATATTTTTTTAAAAGACACAAAATAACTACACAATTCTCCTAACCTAGAGGTATTAAATAGAACAAAATCTACATCACGTTTCTCCTTCAGGACACAACTAAACTAGGGGCTTAAGGTCAAGTGAGCAAAACTCAATGTCTGTTGCCCTTACTCAAGCCACACAGTAATGGTTTTAAATTGTAATTTTTATTATGTTTAGATTGTTACACCCATCCTTAACCAGAGTCAGGCTCACCGACTCAAACACAATGCAGTGGGATAAAGTGGCCATTTAAACAAGCCGTTAAAACGTAGTTGGGAGTCTACTTTTTGTTTTAAAATATGTGGAACAATGCATTTTAAAAGAACCATAGCTTCTCAAATGATCATCAAAGCCAGTAGATTTTAAAGTATTAAAAGAATCTGGAATACAGATCTCACCCTTGAGCAGAGGCCAAAAAAAAGGCTGTCATTTACAGTGAGTTTTTCAAAAACTCTGTCATACAAGTAACCCTTTGTGAAGTAGCTACAGGAGCAAAGAGGCAAATTTTGCATAAGACTATTTTGGGGCAAATCACAAATTACAACCAATACAGAAACCATTTTATGGTAGCTACCTGTAACTATGGGGAAAAAAAGATCACATTAAGTAAATCATTCTGACCTCTTTTATTCCATGAGTGTAAAACAGCATGTTCTTTGTTTCCAATGAGCATTTCCAAAAGATTTTATCGTGATGTTGTTGTTTTGTTCTGCTCTTTCCAGCAATATTCCTTTGACGTGGACAACTAACTGAATACTGACTATTAGCAGGAGAATGATACTGCTATACTGCACTTGGGGCTAACTAAATAGGAGACCACAGCTTTCAAGGGCACAAAGAAATCCAGGTGTTGATGTTTTGAGTTAAGTGCTGACTATTACAGCATCACCATGCAGGCTGAGAATGACAGTGCACCACAATGTGTGGAGATCAAATGACTAGAAACAGGACCTTTGGTGATTTTAACCCTGACATTTCACACAGAAGCACCATTAAGATGGTTATGGTATTGTACTGCATATTTAGATCACTTCCTGTTCTTGTGGCAGCTCCGAATGCACAACCCACTGCTCACTCTGAAAAATGTAGTGAATGTATTTCACTGTGGTGTAAAGTTTAAAGACAATACAGAGAAACACACCCTCCCCGTCACCGTCACAGAACAGTCTTGTTAATATGAGGGGAAAATAATCTTCTTAATAATGACAGAAGATCTTGGACATATGTTAACATTAACTCATTCTACTTAACCAACAGATGCAAATAAAGGGCATGGTAGACCACAGTGCTTTCTTTCTTTATCTTCAGTTTGCTGCATTGTAAAGGCTGACTCTCTCTCAAAACACCATGACCATCTCCTGGGAATCTGTAAAGAGGAGGAACGCAAATGAATATTAATACTGTCAATAATATTACAAGGCAAAACTGACAACTATAGCCCGTGTGTTTTAACTGTGTACCTATATTCTCAACAATGATACTGGATATAATGCAGATGCTGAAGATTCAATGTATAAATAGCAAGTGCTGGACTTCAACAGGTCTGGCAACATCAGGTCAGAGAAATAGTTAATTTTGAGTCCAATTTTCAGAACACGGTGGCTCAGTGGTTAGCACTGCTGCCTCACAGAGCCAGGGTGCAATTCCACCCCCAGGCGACTGTCTGTGTGGAGTTTGCACATTCTCCTCGTGTCTGCGTGGGTTTCCTCTGGGTGCTCCGGTTTCCTCCTACAGTCCAAAGATGCGCAGGTTAGGTGGATTGGCCATGCTAATTTGCCCACAGTGTCCAGGGATATGCAGGTGAGATGGGTTAGCCACGAGAAATGCAGGGTTACAGGGATAGGGTAGGTGGGGTGGGCCGCTTTTCAGAGGATCAGTGTGGACTCAATTGGCTGAAATGACCTGCTTCCACACTGTAGGGATTCTATGATAACTAACTCTGTTTATCTCTCTGCAGTTTCCCCAGTACTTTTTCTTGTATTTACAACAATGACCTTAAGATATGAGCAGAATTAGGTTAATCAGCCATCATAGCTGATATGCTTCTCAACCCTATTCTCCTGCCTTCTCTCCTTACCAATCAAGAACCTATCCATCTCTGTCTTAAATACACTCAATGACTTGGTCTCCACAGCATTCTACAGCAATGAATTCCACAGATTCACCACCCTCCAGCTGAAGAAATTCCCCTTCATCTCAGTTCTAAAGGATCATCCCTTCACCCTGAGGCTGTGCCCTCGGGTCCTAGTCTCTCCTACTAGTGGAAGTATCTTCTCCACATTCACTCCATCCAGACCCCTCAGTTTTCTATAAGTTTCAAAAAGATTGCCCCCTAGCTCCACAAAGTATAGACTCAGCGTCCTCAATCTTCCTCATATGATAAACACTTCAATGCCAGGATCATTCTTGTGAATATTCTCTGGACCCCCTCCATTGCCAGCACATCCCTCCTTAGACATGGATCCCAAAACTGCTTAAATTATTCTAAATATGGTCTGACCAGAGCCTTATATAGCCTCAGGAGTACATCCCTGCTCTTGTATTCTAGCCCTCTTGAAATGAATGCTAACAGTGCACTTGCTTTCCTAAACTGCTAAGAGAATGCTGAACTAAGACGCCTAAGACTTCTGACTAACATTTCAGAAAAATGATCACTGGCGGCAAATCAATTTGGGACTTCCTTACGACATAAAAAGCACCACGTAAATATATGATTCTCTTTTCTTGCCTCTAGTGCACTCAAAGAAAAAAGAACAGTACAGCACAGGAACAGGCCCTTCAGCCCACCAAGACTGTGCCAACACAGGATGCCTTTCTAAACTCATAACCATTTTGCCTCTGCACAATCCATAACCCTCAATTCCCTGCCTGTTCATGTATATGTCAAGATGCCTCTTAAACATGGCTATTATATCTGCTTCTACCATCTCCTCTGGCAGTTCATTCCAGACACTAAACACCCTCTGTATAAAAAAAAACCATGCCTCTCAAATCTCCTTTAAACTTACTCCTTTTATCTGCAACTTGCATCCCCTAGCATATGACATTTCTACCCTGGGAAATAGACTCCAACTATCCATTTTCTCATAAATTTATAAACTTCTATCAGGTCACCCCACAGCCTTTAACGTTCAAGTGATACCAAATCAAGCTTGTCCAATCTCTCCTCATACCTAATACCCTCCAAACCAGGCAACACCCTGGTAAACTGTTCCCATACCTTCTCCAAAGCCACATCCTTCTGGTAGTGTGGTGGACAGAACTGCACACAATATTTCAAATGTGGCCTAACTAAAATTCTATAAAGCTACAACATGACTTGCTGATTTTTATACTGTATACCCAAAACGATGAAGGCAACCAGGCCATATACCTTCTTGACCACCTTATTCACTTGGGTTGCCACTTTCAGGGAACTGTGGATCTGTATGGCTAGATCTCTCTCACAGATCTCCAGTCAGAAAAACACCCTTCCACCACTACCCTCTGTTTTCTATGACCAAACCAGTTCTATATCCATCTTACCAGCGGATCCCATGTGACTTCACCTTCTGTATCATCCTGCCGTGAGAGACCTTGTCAAAGGCCATGCTAAAGTCCACAGAGACAACATCCACCACCCTACCCTCATCAATCATTTTTGGCTGGTCCTCTGGCACCTCTCCTGTGACTAAAGAGGATGCAAAGATTTCATACAAGGCCCCAGCAATTTTCTCACCTGCTTCCCCCAGTATTCTGGGATAGATCCCATCAAATCCTGGGGTCTTTCTACCCTAGTGCTTTTCAAAATACCCAGCACCTTTTTATATCAACATTCTCTGGAGTCACTCTAGACTCATCACCCACAATGTCCACGTTCTTTGTAACTACCAATGCAAAGTATTTGTTAAGGACCTCACCCATTTCCTTTGCCTCCACGCATAAATTCTCTCCTTTGTACTTGAGTGGACCTACCCTTTCCCTAGCTACCCTCTTGCTTCTTAAAACATATTGAGATTTTCCTTAATCCCATTTGCTAAGGGCATTTCATGGCCCGTTTTAGCCCTTCTAACTCCTTGTTTGAGTTCTTTCCTGATTTCTTCACATTCCTCTATATTTGTACTGTATACATCACTGTGTAAGGAGAGAACATGGATTAAGAGATTTAATAAATTCTACGTACAGTTAACTTTAAAAATAGCTAGATTCATATATATCTGTGTATATATGATAAATGTGGTATCTACTGTAGAGCTCCCTTGGCTGGGTTATATATTTAAAACTTACAGAATTTTGGTCACTGTTCCCAAAATAGTCCCTCACTGAAACTTTGATCACCTCATAGCAGATCTAGTATGGCCTTTTCCCTAGTTGGACTATTCACATGATGCTTCAAAAACCATCCTGGACACACCTAACAAATTCCACCCATCCGAGCCTCTGGCACTAAGGCAGTCGCAGTTAATATAAGGGAAGTTAAAATTACCAAACAACCCTGTTTTTTTTGACAGTTTTCCATAATCTATCTCCTGCTGGCTGTTGGCAGGCCTGTAGTACAATCCCCAAAGTGACTGCACCCTTCCTATTCCCGAGCTTTAGCCATTTGGCCTCTCTGGATGGGCCCTCCAACGTGTCCTGCCTCAGTACAGCTGTGATATTCTCCCTAATCAGTAACACTCCTTTCATACCAATCTCATAAATTGAAATACTTTTCTGTCTGGCCTATGACTAATGGAGTATTACAGTGGAATACCTCACAAGAATTACCAAACTCATTTCATTCACAAACATAACTAAGAGTGGTACAGTGTCTATACACATATTGCTATTTAAAATGAGAATAGGCACAGAACTCGAATTGAAACTGATTGTAATACAGAAACCTTTAATATAACTGCCAATTCAGCGACACTAGGATTGTATTATTTTCCCCACTCCAAAGCACTACTTTGAATCATGCTCACTTTTATAAGCAATTGTATTTTGAAATAGCTTCTGTTTCAGGGTTTGGGATCATAGGGCACAATTCATTCTTTCACAGGTTGTGGGCATCACTGACAAGGTCAGAATTTGCTACCCATGCCTAACTGTCCTCCTGAAGGTGGTGGTGAGTCGTTTATTTGAACATCTATACAATATGATGGTGTTACAGGTCTTCAGATATAATATCTATATATATAAAAATGATGAATCCATCAAACTAGCAAAGATTTCTACAAGTTTCAGTGCGAACTAATGCTGTTTACTGCTTACAATAAAACTAACATCATTAGTGATCCAAGTCTCTATTGTTCAGCATAATGATGATGCAGTGGATTTATTATGTTCCCCCTCATTCATTTTCCTCTCTCAGTTTATGCACAATCATGATGTTGTAGATTAGGAAGGTAATCAACTCCCAGTTCATTAAAACCAGCTTTTAAAACATCATAATTTTAATTGGGATTCCTAGTGAACATTTTCCTTCAGTATTTCCTAGTGTTTATGCCCCTGAATTTGGTTCCTTTAGCCCAGTTGCAGCTGGTTTATAAAAGCATGAGGGGCATGGATAGGGTAAATAGACAAGGTCTTTTCCCCAGGGTGACAGAGTCCAAAAGTAGAGGGCATAGGTTTAAAGTGAGAGTGGACAGATTTAAAAGGGATGCAAGGGGCAATTTTTTTCATACAGGGTATGAGTGTATGGAATGAGCTGCCAGAGTAAGCGGTAGAGACTAGTACAATTACAACATTTAAAAGACATCTAAAGGGTATATGAAAAGGAAGGGTTTAGAGATATATGGGCCAAAAACTGACAAATGGGACTAGATTCATTTAGGATATCTGGTCGGCATGGATGATTTGGACCGAAGGATTTGTTTCCATGCTGAATATCCCTCTGACCCTATCTCCCAGAAGATAGTGTTAAAACACACTGGGTACATCATTAGCACCTCCTTACCTTCAGAACTTCACCGTGCCTTCCAGAGGCAGTTATGGACTAGCCTTCTCCTTTGATATATAGGAAGGATGAGGTGCTCCCTGTGCTAAACAGAATTGCTGCATGCTAATGTTTCCAGGTTTTTACCTAGTTTTGGGATTCATGTTTGGGGGCTTTTATTGGTGGAAATCTAGAGGTTTATTGACAAGAGTCTGGGAAAATAGTAACTTCACTATCTGCCATGACTCTGCTACACAAACAAATCTGTTGCATAAGGTGCAACACTCAAGCATGAGTTACTAGTCACAAATATTGCACTTTCGAGCCAGCACTGCTGCCACATTACAAGTAACAGCATGCTGTGTGAAATTAACAATTTAGATACAGATTGATTTGACTTACAGTTCAGTAGACTTGAGCCTCAGTATCACTGTCACCTGCTTTCTCCCTTTGCTGATACTTTCAGAGCTTTGTCCTTATAAGTGAGCAAAGAAAATAGTTACACAAGACATGATCAAAAGCAAAATAAACATAGCTCACAGCCTTCTCCCAAAAGAATACTCCCTTAAGACTCTGATTAATCTTGGTTTAATTACAAGTCACTTTTTCCCAATGGGTTGAATCAAGATATTCACACAATAAAATATTTGTGCAGCACTAAGTTAGAAGGCGATAGCTTGAATTTTTACAACAAATTACGCTTTTTGGTGCTGGTTTACTGCTATGAACAGGGAATAGAATACTCTCGGCACATGCCACACCATTGGTAGATGCAGAATAAAGTGTCCTCTGCTCCAAGTGTGCTTGTTAACTCCTCAGGAAAGCCTAACCAACTTGGTAATTTGTCACGGATTATTCACATATTCACCTATGAGTCATTACAGCAAAGGAGGCCACTTGGCCCATCAAATTCATGCCAACTCTCTGTGGAGCAATCTGATCAGTCTCATTTTCCTGCACAGCCCTGTAAATTTATTCTCATTAAGTGTCCCTCCAATTTCAATGTGAACTCATGAACTGTTTCTGCTTTCATCATCCTTGCAAGTAGCAAAAAAATTCACATTTATCCTGCATCTCTTGCCCAAACCTTAATTCCCTGATCCTTGCGTCAGTAGCTGCTGGGAAGAGACTTCCTCTTTCTTTGTCTCATTTATTAAATCCATCATAATCTTGCACACTTCCCCTAAATTTCCCCTCAATCCTTACTCAAAGGAGAACAATCCCAGCGTCTCTAACATCATCCACATAGATACAGTTCCAGGATATATTAATACCAATGTGTAGCCATTATGGAGTAGTGGTTTTGCTTGAGATTAATATAATTTATTATTGTTCATTCTGGAGATAAGGGCATGTCTTCCAAGAGTGGCACTTTTGTCCATCCAGAGAAGAAACTGTTTACTTACAACTGGACTTCCAGTACACCAAAAGTCAAACTTTCAGCACTCCATTTATCACTACACTTCTGCAGCAATTAATCTGGTATTATTATTCTCATCTGCCCTCAAATCCAAGGGATACATCTTTGAATGGATACAGTGCCCAACTGATTGAGCTATATCTGACTGGATCGCAATGTTCGACTGGGGCCTTTTTCCGTCTTTCAAAACTGTGCATTACTCCAAGTTGCTCCTGGAATGTAAAGATAATGCCCTAACCTCCCCTGAACAAATACCTTCTTTTACTCAAAACTACCTTCTGAAACCCTTCTACCTGCCTTCTGCCCTCTCACCTCCAAAAACAAGTACCAGGATCTCATTAATTTTTTTTTTTTGCAGAGGCTTGTGTGATTGCCTACTTCTTAAAGTGATAGAGATGGGGCTATTGATTATTTTTAAGGCAGAGATACATAGGTTCTCATTATGGCACGTGAATCAAAGGTTATTGAGATAGATGGGAACTCAGAATTTAAAACACAAGTTGATGAGCCATGAGCTTATTGAATGGCAGATCAGGCTCAAGGGGCTGAATGACTTCCTCCACTTCTAATTCTGTGTTTGTGTGAATTTCAAAATTTGACATGTTAATAAAAAAGCTCACAATCCAAGATTACGATGTCAAAATATGCATTTATAATTAGCCTTTTTTCCCAGAATCCCAGAGGTGCTGAAACAAAAGCTTTTAAATTAACTTCTTCTTAAAATAATTGTGACTTATGGAGTGAACTGAAATAGTACAATATTTGCTCCCCATGAGAAAAGCCTGTATACACTGAAGCCCCTCATGCTAAGAATACTGCACTGAGGCATTACATGACTTAAAGACCTTTTCTGAATAAGTTTATGCACAAATATTTGACATTATGTTTACTATATTGATATCTGGAATGAGTAGGTTGTCTTATGAGGACATCTTAGACAGGGTTATATCCACTTAAAAAGTTGCAAATTATGAAATAATTTTTGCAGGTTTTCCATTTTTTAAAAACAAAATCTAACTCTTCTTGGAGAATTAAATACTGTGTTTTTGTGGAACATTAAGCTGTAGGGAGCTGAACTCTTGAATAAAAGTTAGCACAAAGGCAGTGATTAATCACTGGAATAATTGTACAATATCACATATGTCTCATGGTGACAAAGAGAGTCTACTGATAAATAATACCTTTCACATTCTCAGGACATCCCAATGAAGTGAAATGCAGCCACTGTCATTAACTATGCAACTGCTGCACAGCAAGATGCCATAAACAGCAAATAAACAATATCATTAGATAATCTGTTTTTGATGTTGTTACTTGGCGAAATGTTGGTTACAATAACAGGAGTCCTCCATGCTCTCCTTTAGTCTGATAATTTATGTCTATGGCAGACAGGGCATTGAGTTAATCTCTCATTTGGAATGGCACCTTAAATAATGTAGCACTCTTGCACTAAAGTATCAGCCCATCATAAATCATAAGAATATGACATGTTCATACGACAGTGTTATAAAATATACAGGATTCATGGAGACAAATTAGTTGCTATGCCAGGAATTGGGATAATTTTCAGATTAGTTTTAAAATGGTGGCAACTCGTTTCCACTGCAGAACCATTCATAACGGTTTGGTCCTGTTTGTGAAGTGGTTTTTCCAGTTTCTTTAAGCATTCTAACCAACAAATTTGTGCCAAGTTCCTCCTTTAACAGAGATTAAATGTCATTTGTTAGGGAAACCTTAAATTAAAACTAGGTTAAAGTTTTTAAAAAATTAAAGAATGGCAGAAAATTATGTTAAACAAACTCATCAAGCATTGATTAGTATTCTTTCCCTACAGAAAAAACACAGCCTGTGAGGTCCATAGACAGGATTGCAGCCAGACTATATATTAAGAACCATGTATAGCTTTGAGTAGAACATTTCAAAGCAATGATTCAACTCTTTATTGACTAGATACAAATATCTTTAGACAAAGAATTCCAGTTAAAACCGAGGTCGCACTGACGTCGATTTTAAAAATTCTAAATAATCTTGAGATTCTTGGCATCAAGTACCGAATGACTCCATTCTGTACAAAACAAGAATTTTGCTGGATTCATTCAAGGAGAAGTATTTAAAGTTGTACAACATGAAGGTAGTCTCTGGTGAATTCAGTATCATATGTGGAACTTATCTGTAAAATTACAGGCATTCACCTGCATTGAGAAACAACTGTTTTATTTGGTGTCATTTCCCTTAGGCCAGTGGACACAGACAATTGAATTCACAATTTGAGCAGCATCATTTGCTTATACTTAAGCGTCCCCAAATATACTGAAAATTATTCCACTACCATCTAAAGCGACTGAATTAGAACAAGAAGTGCTAATTGTGATCTTTACCAGGCACAATCTGGTTAAGAGACACAGGGCCAAATTTTCCCCACTTTCAGTTAAAGAGTTTGTTGAGCAAAATTTGTAGCGCTCTGTCCATCATGGCACACAGAGACTTTTTCCACGCAATTTACCACTCTTCACATCATGAATTATGCAACAGGGTTCTCGATGCCTTTTCAGGGAAATGCACAGCCGAAGAAGTGGAAGCACTTGCCACTGCTGGGACTTTCACCTTTCGTGACTTTGGCAGCATATTTAAAACCCAAATGCACACTTTTTCAGATGCTGCAAGCCAGGAACTGGCCCTCACAACTGTGGTGCTTGACTGTTAGTACTGAACACATGGCCTAGAGGAAAGAAAAGCTCACTCTCCATGTCACAGACAGGGACTCAAAGTGTTGATCGATGGGGTAATGGGGAGGAGGGCCTTTTTTTTCCCAATCGACTGCTGCAGGAAGCCATGCCAGCTGACACAGCCTACCTGGAAACAGATTGCAGTCCAGGTCAGTGCTGTGTCCTGGCTGGAAAGTAACACCCAGCAGTATAGAAAGAAGGTAAATGAGCTTCTGCATTCTGCAAGTTAAGTGTCATCATCTCCTCTTTGCTACCTCACACTCACAGGGCAAGCATTCACTCTGACTTTGCCACTGCACACAGATCTCATGGATAATAGCTCTCAGTACTTCATGAATCATGGCTATTCAATAGCTCTTGCCTGCTTCATCCTCTCAAAAGCTTCCTGTCCTCTGGGCTTCCTACTCATGCACCAGGGACATCTCACCACCGCTCCTGCTCATGCGTCACCACTAACTGCTCTTCCATCCCTTTCCATCATACTCAATCGCTCTTTTCATTTTGTTGCTGGAGCAGCTGTCTGAACTCCCACAGTAATGTCTTAACAGCAACCCAACTGGGTCACCTGTAATTCTTGGACTGTTTGCACTTGACCTGCAAGTCTGACCATGACCCAATCCTCGGACTGCAATGATAGAGCTCCCCAGACTCTAACAGAACCAAATGCCTGCCTGTGGCCAACCCATGAGTGGAATCGGACTAGCCACCGACTGATTGTTGAGGTACTGTATTTCCCCTTCACCCAAGGACTGTTCCCTTCCAATTTCACAAATGGCTACTCACTTGAAGCACATGCAGTGTGTTTGTCATGTTAACTGTTGTCACATGCTGATGGTGTGACATTGAGGTGGCATTGTGCCACACAGAGACATGTTCACCCTTATCTGACTGATAGATTGTCTGTCCAGTACACCCACAACGATAAGATGTATAAACCTTCCTCTGTACAAAGAAAGCAATGCAACCAACTGAGTCTGGCCATCTGTAATTCATTGTTGAAGTCAGTCAGTGTGGGCTAAGAAAGCAATGTGAAGTACACAGAGACTACCAGCCTCAAGTATGCAGCAAAATGAGTGACTGCTAAGAAAGCAAGATGTGTGCATCACTGCATGCAGAGCAACCTGACAGAAACATGCAAATCAGAGGTGTCCCTGAGCTCCAAAGTAAAGTGTTGAAGGGCTGAAGTAGTGTCTGAGCTGGTCCGACAGCAGGCCTGAAGAAGTGGTAAGGATGGTGGCTGACGTGCGTGGATGAAAGATCAAGGAGAATGGTGGCCATGGAGGATGCATGGGCTTTCTTCTGAAGAAAGGGCTGCAAGATGGCCAGGACAAGCATTTAGTGAAACTGTACTGATTTACATGTCAGGCATTTGTGCCATGAAGGAAATGAGAACTGTAAGCAAAATATAAATAAGGTGAGTGGGGTTTTAAGTGAGATGCTAAAACAAGGAAATAAGGTAGTTGTTCCAACCTTATAATAATGGCTGCTCACTTAATTCACCATATACAACCATGGTGCAAGCTAGGTCCAAACCCATGAGAAATAAATTTGGGCTAGGTTACCCTGGATCACAGAATCATAGCTGGATGACTAAGAATATTGATGAAAAACAAAGAAAGAAACAGATATATGCCATTAGTGTTCATTGGTATTTGTCAGTTGGCATAGACATAGTGGACCAAAGAACCTGTTTCTATGCCGTAAGACTCTTGAGGGGAAAATTTTTCTTGACATTGAGAATGAGATTTTTTTCCATTCTCACTGTATTTTCCCATCTTTCTTGCTATTACTCACGCTACACCATTGAGGGGAAAATTTCACCCAAAGAGAAGAAACAAATATACAAAGTTAAGATTTTGTCTCTGAAAGTATGTAAAGTGAATTCACAGTTTATATGTGGTAAAAGATGAACGCTACATTAATGTCATACCTTGTGTTTTGCACATTTCATTGAGAAATTATCTTCATTTAGGAAACATTCTAGAATAAAGAACAAATGTGGGTCATCAAACATTTTGTGCTTTCAGTTGTATTTTTACAAGACACAAATCAATTTAGGCATAATTAACAAACATTCCCTGCACACAACTAGACATGCTAATTCTGAACTCTACAGCAAAGAACACTAATCTCATTAAGTTTTTAAAAACAGACAAATTTATTCTGTTTAATTTCATTTTTTAAAACTAAATTGGGAATGACAGTATAGCTCTTTCAAAGCACTAATATATGCAATGGGTCAAATGGCCTCCTTTTATGATGTGAGATCCTTTAATCTAGAACCAACAGAAAATGAAATGGTATTGCTTTCTACAACAATCAGCATGATTTCAAAACTCCATTTAAAAAGGGAAGACCAAGCCAGGTAATATGAATGCAAGGCTTTATAGGGTGATTATGTTTTACATTGTCTCTTTAATTCAGGTAATCAGTAAGGTTATGGAGGGAGAGGGTGTGTGCTCTCATAGATAGGAAAAAAAACTGAAACTGGCATGGTCAGCAAAGAGAAAACTGTGGGACCCCTGCAAGTATCCAGTGGAACCTGGGAGTAAGAATAGTCTCAGATCAAAGCAACATCACTGTTAAGCAGGAATGTCCAACTTTCTCTCATTCAGGAGACTGGTGAGCAAATTTCAGGAAGATAAGGCTTGCAAAACAGCATGTGTGAATTTCTGAAAAAATCCTTTCCAAATCAATGTATTGATTGTTTAAATGATCATTTTTATTAATTACATTTTTAAATTTCCAAACAGCAGAACTAGTAAACCTTTTCTCACACTTTCATAGTCAGAGAAAGAAAAAGACTAGGTCCTAAGTCTGATCACAAGGAAGTGGGTGCGGTCTGAGGCTGAGCTAGGGAGTTGGGTTTAACTAACACGGACTTTGGTTCATTCTCTGGTGGCACACACTCCGAATTAAAAGTTGGGTTTGGAAATGGGTTGCCTTTCAGCCTGGATTTTCCTCCTCTCCCAGCTTGCTATATGGATGTTTGCAGTGGCAGGGAATAGGAGGAGGAGGAGGAGACTGGGGTTGTGTGTGTGTCTGCTCAGACCCACTAATTAATCTAACTTGCCCCACCCCAGTCATGCAGGCACTAACCCACTTATTCATTCATCTACCCACCCACCCACCCAGCTAGTTCCCTAGTCACTAATTTACCCACCACAACCCCAATAAGTCATTCACTCACTCAACCCCCACTGTGCCACTCACTCACTTATCACACTCCAATTTTCACTCATTCCTCCACCACCACCCAAGTCATTCACTCACTCATCTCCTGCAGTCACTCACTGACTCACTCACACCTATCCCCCAGTCACACACACGCACCAAGTCATTCACGCACGCACTAACCTGTGGTCACTTATTCACTCCACACCAGTCAGTCACAACCCCCAACCCCACCACTCACATGCCCATTCACTCACTCATCGCTCCAATCATTCAATATCATCCTCACCTCGCTCATGCACAGTACCCAGTTATTCACTTAATCACCTTCCAGTCACTCAGACCCTAATCACTTACTCACCTAGCCCATCACTCAATCACACACGCACACACTTGCTCCCACTCCAGTCAATCACGGTCACTCACTTCCTCTCTCGCTCTGACTCCACTTAATCATTCACTCATTCAATCCCCATCCCAGTCACTCAGTCACTCTTCCTCCCCAGGGCCAAAGGCTGACCCAACTCTTAGCAAATAAGTCATATTTGACATGAAACATTAACTCTGTTCTTTTCTGCGTGGATACTGCCATACCTGCAAAGTCATAAAATTTGAAATCTTGTTATGCAATTATAACGGTCATTGGGAATTTCAAATACCTTTTTAAAAAGTTATTAGTCTCTATGGGATCACAATGCTGGAAACAAGCAGAGTCTCACATCATTGTCCTACAGTTAATTTTTGTGCTGTCATTTAGCTGGGTGACACCACTATCATGGTGATGTTCATTCAGGGCAAGTGACTAAGCTTCCCATTCGGGCGATCATCTGTCTCTGCTGCTTTTAAGGGGAAGGGGGTAAAGTAATAATACCACAGATTTTTGTAACATGAGATGTCTTCAGAATCTAAAGGTCAATACAGGATAATGGATCCATGAGCCAGTGCATCACACACTGTATTGGCTGACAGATCCCATTAACCATTCACCAGCCCAGTGGGACAATGCAAAGTGTTTCAATACAGAATCAAGCACTCTGGCTGTGCTTCAATTGCCTTTTTTTCTCTGAATCACTTTAGAGAATTTCAACCCCCACCTCCCTTCACCTTTCTATTCTTCTCCTAATCCATCTCCTTATCAAAAATAATGATTAATACAGGCAGTAAATTAAAAATACCTTTTATCAGCTTGACACTGAGATTTTAGTGCAGTGCAATGGGAGTATGAAAGATTATGCTATTAATATTACAGCCAGCCACATAACTGCAAGGCTTCTTTTCTCAAATTGGGGCTGAGTCAATATTTTGAGCTGTAGACCATTTGGAAAGTACCAGCTTGTTACTGCAGGTGGGACAACGGTGAGAATAGTGCAGTGGGGATAAATTAACAGCATTGCATAAGAGCATAACTCACAATACGGAAGGACATACATTTAAGTACAATTTTGCCTGAAACATATTAGTAATGATAAGCAAAACTAGGCAATGACCCAGTACTTCAGACTAGTCATAAACAGCTTGATAGGCTTCACCAAATACTACCTCAGCTCCAAATCAGTTCCACTGTTCCATCAAATCTAACCTGAGTATTATTTAGAACAATGGAATAAATTATGAAGGACCCGTTCCTGTTAATTTAAATGATCCCAATTACACTAACGGTCACCTTATTACAATTTCTCAATTTGAATTTCTGGATAATTCAAATTTGTAGAGATGCCAAAAAATTGACTGTAGTACCAAATTCATTTTATTGGCACACATGGCACTAGTGTTCATCAATTTAAATCACCAGCAGAAAGCATTAACACCACGAGAACAAAATTGTTTTCTATTCAGGACTTCATATCTAGTTATTGATCAATCACTAATCAAAAATAACCAAAGAGATACTCACTACTATTTACAGCACAGGCATAGTGGTACTTAAGGGGGCAGCCTTTAATGTAGCAGCCTAAAGTGGCACCGGTTTTCTCACACATGGAACAGAGCTGCAGAAACAAGGTCAATGTCAGAAAGGTGTTGGAAAACAAAAATCATTTCACAGAAATCAACAAATTCAAGCTAGGTAAAATCTTACAGGACAGTGCAACTTGACTTCTTCAGAACAAAGCAGTCACAATATTGATCCTTTTCAAGATTCAAGGCAAGGCTTAATTCCATATATAGTCAAAGAGGTGGGGGGGGAAAAAGCCATGCTGTAAGGACCTATAAACTCACACTACATAATTTTAGATTTTATTTCATCTGATTGAGGATCTTGCAGAAAATAATGCAAGTCATATGACATATGTTGAGCAGCTGCAACTGCAGCTTGTGCTCATTCATGTCAAAAAAGAGACCACCAAGAGAGAAAGCCTATAAATCAAAAACACTACTTGCAGGAAATTAACACCTCTCCTCTGCAGTTAAAAGTCTTTTGACCAGCCATAAGATTTGGCTTTGTGACACTTCAACAACACATTTCATTGGAGCATTCCTATAAACATGAGACATCTGCCACAAGTTGAAATATTAACAGTATCATAGCAGCGCACAATGGCAAACCAAATACATTTGGTGCCTAGAGAAAAACACATGAACCTTTTTGTCTGAAGTTTAACAAGGTGTTTTACTAAAAGACTTAGATGGGTGTGAAAAATAAGGGAATCATGTATATTAAAACAGAAACATCCTAACCAAGGTTTCAATAATTTAAAAAACAAAAATGCCCAAACATATTTTCCAATGTTCAAAATGCTGCCTTCCAACAGATCACCAACTAGTTTCTTCCTCACAAAGGGCCACTTGACTACAGGATTAATTACAGCTTTGGTCCAAACACGAACAAAAGAACTGAATGCAAAAGGGTGGTGAAAGCAATTGCCCTTGACATCAAGACAGAATCTGACTGCATGTGACACCTAGAAGCCCAAATAAAATTGAAGTCAATAGAAATCAGGGAAAAACTCCTCAGTGTAATCATACCTGGCACAAAGAAAGATCGCTGTGGCTGCTGAAGATCCATATCTCAGCCTCGCTCATTGCTACAGGTGTTTCTCAGGATCATCAACCATCTTCAGGTGCTTCATCAATGACCTTTCCTTCATCATGAGGTCATGACTGCACAATGTTCAGTACCAGCTGCATCTCCTCATACGCTGAAACAGTCTGTGCATGCATGCAGTGATATCTGGACAATGTTCAGGCTGCTTCCAACAAGGAAGAATCTAACAGTTTCTCCTCACCATTCAATAGCATTACCATTGCTAAATTCCAACTAACAACATCCTGCAGGTTACCATTGACCGGGAGCTTAACTTAACACCCATATAAATACTGTGGCTACAGAAACAGATTCGAAACTAGAAGTTATGTGATATGTAACTTGCCTCTTGACCTCCCAAAGCCCGCTCATCACCACAAGGAACAAGTCAGGACTGTGATGGAATACATTCCACTTTCCTAGATGAATGCAACTCCAACAACATTCAAGAAGCTCATCACCATCTAGGATAAAACAGCCTGCTTGATCAGCACCTCATTCACCGTGTTAAGCATTCACTCTACTCACCACCAGCACATACTGGTAAAACTGTGTACCATCTATGTAATGCAATCTAACAACTTGTCAAGACTCCTTTAGCAGCACTTTCCAAACTTGTGTTCTACTTTCTAGGAGAAGAAGGGCAAGAGATGCACAGGAAAACAAACCTACAGGTTTTCCTTCAAATCACATGCCATCCTGACTTGGAATTACATCACTGTTCTTTTACCTGTGCTGGTCAAAATGCTAGAACTTCCTAACAACACATGTTGTATCTACACCACATGGACTGCAGTGGTTTCAACAAGGTGGCTCACTTACACCTTTTCAAGTACAATTAGAGATGGGCAATAAACACCAGCAATGCTCATATCCTATAAATAAATAAATAAAACAGCTGTTTCAAACTTTACAAATCAATATGCACTTTTTCTACAATCTCAAACAAACAAATCAATAACAAATATGATAACCATCCTCTTTAATAGGAGATAAATTTCCTAAAGAAAAAAACTCACATTAAAATAGGACACTTATTTTTCAATTTGGAGTACTTTAGTCATAAATGAATAATGCTTTAGAACCATAACGTGGAATGTAAAAATTGTCCCATTTGATGAGAACCAAATTTTTGGTACACAAATCCAAACAGATGACTGCACCGTGCTCTCCTCCCTCAATCAAAATTTTTGTCCTTATTTCCCTTTAAAGATGCAATAGTCTCTGGTCTCAACTACTCATTGATCCATAAAAGTGACAAGGAGGGAAATGAGACTAGTTTTCAATAAATCAAAGTTGTATTTCAGGCTGACACAGCAGCTGAAGAATGGGATCCAGTGACATTGTGTTCACTGGCTGTAGAGAAGGCACACAACAAACAGAACACAAGCACCAGTTTTACTTTGCCCTTTTTTAGGTGGACAGGCTATTTAGACAATTCACAGGAGCAGCACATCTTTCTCTTATCTCCTTTAAGAAAATCAAGGGTGCGAGGCATGCAGAAGTTTGGTATCAATATTATTTTGGCTATCAAGAAGAGACACCAGAATTCAATGTTCTTGATCAAGAGATGCAACCCAAAGGCCAACTCTTTATATAGATGACCTAACATAAACATGGAAGGTAGAAACATCTTTTCTTTGTGTACCACAAACTTTTAGGAGTAAGGAAATTAACACGACATAAGGTTGGGGAGGTTAAGCCTCTGTGATTTCACTTCAGGCATTATGAAAAGATACAAATCTTCACTGCTCCATTTAAATGGGAAAGCAGGGGCAGACTTACAAACATAGTAATGTCAGTCTCATCACATCTTACATCAGAACTGTTTGATTTCTAGAATGAGGACAAATATGGAAATGCTTCCTCTCGCTCAATGTTGCAACCTCCATTAAATGATTCAAAATATACTCAGCTTCTTGTTCACTAGAATCCTGCTGATTATATGGGATAGGTTTACCATAAAATCCAGAGGTAATGTGTTTCAAATAGACAGAGTTGCAAAAGATAGCTTAAAGGTTGAGTAATCAGCTAAAGTATTGATGAAAGGGACTAGTGGGTGAGATATGACTGCTAAATTCCAGAACTCAAAGTCTGTCATTCATTTTACAAAATGTAACTCAGTAGATATTTCTCTTTAGTTTAAAAAGAACTGTTAAAGTTGGAAAGAGGATGAAATTACTATTAGACACTTCTTGAATTATCCAATTACATTGTTTCTCTCACATTACCTTCCTTAAATTTACAAAATGCAGTAAAGTATTTATGATTATCACTGAAGTTACTTTTGTAGGGATAATCTATGAATGATTCAACAAGGTAATATTTATTGATGAAAAACAAGCGACGAGGTTGGAACAGGATATCTTGAAAACATTGGCAATCAGTATCAAATTTCAGTTATTTTGTACTGACACCCACATCACGTGACTACACGGGGCATGTAAGAAGAAATTATTTCACAGAACATTATATTTTCCCTTTCTTTCAAAGGTACACTGACTAACTATTTAAGTACCTCCATTTTACTTTTATTCAATCCAATTTTTCAGCACTGTTCTCCTTTACTATGACATTAACAGAATTCTTTAGTATCTCGACCAACTCTCTGCTTCCTTCTTGGTATCTACTCAAGCTCACCCTTCCACCATCTCTTATCAGAGATAGGCAGATGGACAGAGTACATGACTTTGCAAGGATTGTTGACTTCCCATAGCACTATTCACTGTACTCTGGTCACTTGAGGACACTGCTTGTCAATTCTAAGATACCTTAGGATGGAATTCCGTTCCTTAAACATCCATTTTCAGGTTAATTTCTGGTTTTAGTCATTACACCTTAATTTCATGGCAGCCCAGTCAACCATCTGCATTTGAACCATTACAACAAACCAGAGTGGTTACTGGGTGACAAGGACTATCTACTGATCACATGGTCCGTGAATCTAGTACACAACGCACATAAACACATACCTTAACAGCATACTCCAAACAAAAGTCATATTGATGCAGAAAATGTGATTGAACAGACTTTAAACAATTTCACTACCATACAGCATTGGAGGATAGTGTCAGACTACAATTCAAGTGAATGTAACCCCTATTCCCCATTCAACAACACACCTTACCTTCCTCGTTACAAGTACCACATGTGATGCAAACATAATGCCCGGTTTCTCATTTTAAACTCTTCTTAAACCCCTCTCCTTTCCACTGTCACCTCCAAGAAGTGCAAGAGGCTCATAAACTTCTTTGCAACAAAAACTGAAAACCCAAACAGCTGCTTCTGCCGTGTCTTCCCTCCCACCACGCTAACCAAATTTCTTATAATACCATCGCTGCCGTAGCCCAGAACTTTCTTATCTCTGTTGTTTCTCTTGCATCTCTCCTCATTCCTTTTCTAATTTAATTTGTCCATGACACCCACCACTGATACTCTGATTCTAAACTGGTGCCCACCCAACATTCTGTCTTTGGATAACAATATAAAACAAAGAACTGCGGATGCTGGAGATCTGAAACTAAAACAGAAAGTGCTGGTGAAACTCAACAGGTCTGGTAGCACCCACGGAACGAGAGAAGAATTAATGTTTCAAGTCCAGTGACCCTTCAACAGAACAGATTCTCTCTTGGGACTCATGTTAGCCAATATTACAAAGCTTATTAGAATTCGGGTACAGTCTCTCTCTCTCTCTCTCTCTCCTTTAAATCTGGCATCATCACCACTCTGCTCAAAAATCCAACACTTGACCCAAAGATCCATTTCTCCAAACTTTCCCCTACAAAGTCCTTGAACCTGTTGCTATCTCCAAAATCTGTTCAACCCTTCTTGATTTTGAATACCTCTATCCAGTTTTCTCTCAATCAACTTTTCCATAAGGACATTAGTCCAAGCATATTTATCCAGATAACTGAAGGCACTTATCCCCAGAACAATTCTCAGGAATCTTTACTGCAATCTCTCCAATGCCTTCAGATCCTTCCTGAAGTGTGGTGCACAGAATTGGATACAATAATCCAGTTGAGTCCCAACTAGTGTTTGATTGAGGTTCACCATAACTTTATAAATACGAGTAGACAGTACTAAAATAAGAAAGTGTAGAACTTCATATAACTTATCAGCAGCTTTTTCAGCCTACAACATAACGTTTAACAATTTATGCAGCTATATCCCCAGCCTCTCTATTCCTGGACATCCTTTAGAATTATACTTCCCTTTATGCTTCCGAGTGAAGTTTATCACTTTCTTCTGTGTCTGTCCATTCCAGCCTGTCTACATCCTCTTGAAACCTATTGCTGTCCACCTTATTTTGTCAGACTACTTCCAAGTTTTAAATCATCTTCAAATGAGTGCGACCCCAGAACACCCAAGTCCAGGTAATTAATAAAGACCAAATAAACAGAAAGAAATATCTACCCTTGGAAACACCCCACTAGATACCTCCTCCAGTCCCAAAACAAAACTATTCTATCCACAACAAAAGCAAAATACTGCATATGTTGAAAATCTGGAATAAAACCAGAAAACCAGATCCGGTAGCATCTCTATATTGAGAGAGAGAGAAGGCGGGGCGGGGGCGGGGAACACAGTATGTGCTAAT